ATATAGATATATCAATCTATAAGATGAATTTTTACAAATATTTTACTTCAACTCACATCCAATTTTTGCATTATTCAGACCTAATTCCAAAGAAAAATTTTCCAAAATAATATTTCCCAAAATTTTTCTTTTAATTACAACTTATTTCACGTTAACCCCGTAGAAGATTCTATATGAGAAAAGTCCTGTAAGGTAATAACTTTTCACAGAATTATATCATTTTATTCAATTTTTCAGAGAAAAATAATTTATGCAAATTCTAAACGAAATATCTATATCTATAGATATATCAATCTATAAGATGAATGTTTACAAATATTTTACTTCAACTCACATCCAATTTTTGCATTATTCAGACCTAATTCCAAAGAAAAATTTTCCAAAATAACATCCCCAAAAATTTTTCTTTTAATTATAATTTATTTCACGTTAACCCTGTTCAAGATTTTTACACTTTTCGTATTACGTGTGTATTGTGTCCCTATTAATTTATGCATGCTCATAATTACGTGATCGTTTTTCGTTTTACCTATCTTTTGCCAGCTGTAAAATGTTTTACCAAGACTGTAAAATACAAATAAAATAAAATACAATAAAATAAAATAAAATAAAATAAAATCCTAAAATAGTCACCTGTAAATACACGATATTTCTATATATAGACATCAAAAGAGTGATCCAACTTACGAAAGTTTCCTTTCGTTTTTGACCCGAGAAAATTGGGAAAAAGATGGTGAAAATAAAAGCGGAAAATAATAATGAAGATAACAGGCACGTCCCTGACCTGCGGAGATTTAAACGAACGATAGCTATACGCCTCATGGGCTTTCGTTTCCTCTATCACGTTCTTCCGAGCTAACACGATCGAGAGGCGGTTGACAAGCGCGTTAAACCCACGTTGTACGACTGAACGTAAGCCAAACATTGACTGAATATTAATTAGAATCGGCGTGTTTGGGCAATAGTGTATCAACAGTCTATTCGAGCTCGAAGCGAACACGGTCTTGGAATACCTTATGAAACGCTCGATCGCGAACTGACCTCTCCTTTATATCCACCGATCTTTTGTATCCACTGACTTTATCGCGAAATTAAATTCTGTTTGCTCCTGGCACGCTAGGAAGAACCCGGCGGAATTAGAAACACGAAAAATCACTTACTCCTCACGGAGAGCTTCTTCCTTGGCTCGAGAATCGACGAAAATTTATACGTGTGATCGTCTTCTTCTTCGGGGATTCGAGGAACGAATTCGAATAGAATGTTTCTCGTCAGGTATAAAATTGGGAATTCTCGTAAATTCCAATTTTTGAATTTTTTCCCTGACTCACGAGTGCACGGAAATATTCTTTTGCGAGGGAAGTTTTATTTATTTGCTAGATTGTTTCTAGATATTCATTGAATATATGTTTGTCGTACAATGTAAACTTCAAAATTATTGGAAATATCTGTAATTCTTGTAATTATCTTTTCGAGATCTTCAAGAAATTTGAGGAATTTTTATAAATTTCTACAATTTTTCAGCTGTTTGAATGACTGTTCAATGATTGGTTAAAAATACTCTTCTGTGAGTAAATTAAAATTTAATTTATAATTTTATTTAATTACAAAACTCTTGGAAAAATCTGGAAATATTGTAATTATCTTTTCGAGATCTTCAAGAAATGTCAGGAATTTTTATAAATTTCTATAATTTTTCAGCTGTTTGAATGACTTCAATGATTGCTCAAAAATACTCTTCTGTGAGTAAATTAAAATTTGATTTATAATTTTCTTTAGTTCCAAAACTCTTGGAAAAATCTGAAAGTATTGTAATTATCTTTTCGAGATCTTCAAGAAATTTCAGGAATTTTTATAAATTTCTATAATTTTTCAGCTGTTTCAATGACTTCAATGATTGCTCAAAAATACTCTTCTGTGAGTAAATTAAAATTTGATTTATAATTTTATTTAATTCTAAAATTCTTGGAAAAATCTGGAAATATTGTAATTATTTCTTCGAGATCTTCAAAATATTTGTGGAATTTTTATAAATTTCTATAATTTTTCAGCTGTTTGAATAACTGTTCAATGATTGCTCAAAAATACTCTTCTATGAGTAAATTAAAATTTGATTTATAATTTTATTTAATTCCAAAATTCTTGGAAAAATCTGGAAGTATTGTAATTATTTCTTCGAGATCTTCAAAATATTTGTGGAATTTTTATAAATTTCTATAATTTTTCAGCTATTTGAATAACTGTTCAATGATTGCTGAAAAATACTCTTCTGTGAGTAAATTAAAATTTGATATATAATTTTATTTTCTTCGTATCAATTGGAATAACGTAGATTTATCGTTAAATCTGAATCTCAAAAATTTTTGAAAATTTTTATAATTGTTTGAATCACCGTTTAATCATTAGTCAAAAGTTTTCCTTCGCGAATGAATTCGAATATTCTATTAATCTTTTAGAACAACAAATTTTGTTTATTTTTGTTAAAGGACTCATGGAACAAGTGTTTGACTCGATATTTCCAAGCATCGATTGTTATTTGAATAAAATTTACATTGCCTCGCGATTTGAAATTCGTTTATGAATAATGCATTAAACGATGTATCAAAGCTTGTTACATCAAGTTCGAATAACATTCATAAATAAGGAAAAATTCGAACGAGAGATTCGAGCGAAAATCCGTTGATCCGTTGCTTTGCCGGATAAAAATAAATTTCTCCATTGACACCAGCGAAGCGTTGTTCCCTCCAGTGATGATAAGTTGCAGTGTGAGTTACGATACATTAAAACACCAATTTGCTATAGTATATTAAACTACGGCTTGTTAAATTACGCTAAATTACAAGAAAGCATTTACGATAGTAATTACAACGAATCGTTTAAAAAGCTCTTACAAAACTCTCGAGGAGCAGTAAAAGCGTTAAGGCACGGACTGCGTTACCTCTCAATTACTACCTAATCACCCCACTTAATACACTAACCTTGAATCACTGTATTCGATCTACCTAGCGAGTCTAGCATTACCAAAATGTCTACCCACAGTCGCCAAGCTCTCAAACGTGGGATTCATAAATCATTCATAAATCATTCATAAATCACTCGGTCGATCAACATCACCAAAGTAGACTCTATTTTCCAATAGACATAGGAGATCTATTAGGTTGTTGCACGTGAAGTGGTCGATTTTAGAAACAAACGATATTTAACAGTGGTCTGCTTATGGCATTTATCATAAATTTATTTCAATTTTGAAGCTACTGTATTTTTGTTAACTATTTTATTGCGAAATGAAACGTGAAAGATAATGTACTAATCTTTAGAGATGATTTTCTACTATACTTCACATTTACCAAAAAATATATTTATTATTTCGTGACAATATTCATCGTGATATATTTTAAATCGAGAATTTTGTATACTAATAGCCAAGAACTATTAAAAATAGTTAATATTACAAATTACTTTTTAAATATATAGTTACCAAACAATATAGATTTGAGAATTTTATTTCATTATTTAAATAATACAAAATTCACGTTTCCATCCATTTTTTACTACCCCCTATATTTTTTAAAAATTGTATTTCTCTTAGTATAAAATATAATAACCCAAACCTAATTTAAACCAATTCTTGTCAATACTAAAATTTACAGAGAATTCAAAATGCAGTTGTTAAAAATATATAACTCTTAATGGCATAATTAATGCTGAATTTTACAGAGATAAAACTACATCAATTTTTAAGGGTTCATTAGAAAGAGAAAACTTTACCTTATAACTTCAGAGTAAAACGAATCTTGATAAAAATTTTCCAAGACCTATAGAGTCCTCTGAATTCGTAAAATCTTTTACAAAGAAAGCTACCTTTATTTCTTCCTCAGGTGTGTTGAAATAAAATATATTTAAAAAATCAATTTAAAAGTATGAAAGTACAAGATTCATTCTTTAAAATCAGCCTAAGTAGACTGTTATATGACATCTTCCAACGAAGTTATAGTTACTCAAAGATGGACAATATTTCCATTCGTGAAAAGATCCTCTAATCTCATTGACGAGTGTGCTTATTTGTTTCCACAATATATTTAATTACTCATTATAGCTCAAAATTACAGACCCAATTGTAGCTATATAAAACACAGGAATTCCAAAGAGATTACTTCAAGTAGCCACTAAAAGATGAACAATTTTTCCATTCCTGAAAAGATCCTCTAATCTCATAAACGAGTGTGCCTATTTGTCCCCACAATACATTTAATTACTCATCACAGACCGAAATTACAGACCCAATTGTAGCTATACAAAACACAGGAATTCCAAAGAGTCCACTTCAAGTAGCCACTAAAAGATGGGCAATTTTTCCATCCCTGAAAAGATCCTCTAATCTCATAAACGAGTGTGCTTACTTATCCTCACGATACATTTAACCCTTTGCACTCGACGATATTTTGGCTAGAGAAGGGTAGAAATTCAAAGATTTTCCACTAAAAAACTGACGATACTTATTTCAGCAGTAAATAAAGAATTGTATAATTATTTGATTTCGATACCTCGTACACTGTTACATTACATTAAATTTTGATTAATTTTAATTTACTCGACGACGACTTTTTCGTTACAGAAAAATAGTCATTCGAAGACTTTCTGTCATCGAGTCGACGATATTTTTCAAATGGTAAATGAGAAATCACATGCAAATTAAGACGTGGAATTATTTTTCTTCGACATTCCACACATCGTTAGGTAATTTTAAATTTGATATATTAATTAACGTCGATCTTCAGAATCTGATTAAATAGTGACTGAGAGTCACCTCTCGAGTGCAAAGGGTTAATTACTCGTTACAGACGCAATAGTAGTCATAGAATAGAAAAGAATTCCAGAGACTAAGAGACCACTTCACCAGCAACGACTCGATAAATCCCCGAAAAATCTCTGATAAAACCAACATCACAGGAATCCCCTAGGTAGAGACCCAGAGTACGAAAACAGGAAGAATCCCGACTCACCTCTCTCTCTGCGCGCTGGAGCAAGGCACCAGTATCTTGCCCATGCTGTTCAGCTTCCCTTTGGGATCGCACAGGTTCCCGGACGACTGGGTTCTGCGGCCGGTGAGGCCTTTCCCGTTGTGTCGACTCAAATTCGAGCCCATGGTCGGCCGTTCGTTCTCGAGCTGAGCCTCGGTCGTCCCCTCGGCGGCGTTCACGGCATTTCCGGGCGTGTTCTCCTTGTTCGGCCAGTCGAGGTACTCGTCTACGTCCTTGGCATTGACCTTGCAGGATAAGGCCGGGATTGGCGGCGCCGGGCGTGTGCGCTTGCTGCCAGGCTGCAGCTGGGGCCGGCAGCCTTTACGACGGTTGCTCGGCGATTCGCTGCTCAACGAAAGCCTCTGCACTTTCCAGCTGTCCTGACCTCCGCTCGCCGGAGGCACGGTTACGACTTCCTCGCCTGTAACAATGACGCAATTCCGTTTTACACGCTGCTCTGTGACGCGAGCTGACGTTCAAGGTCCGAAGATACCGGGGCTGGCCTGACCGCTAGTGGAGGACCGTTAGAGGTGCTTGCTTTTAGGGGTTCGCGTGGAGAGTAGCATTGCAGTTTTAGGTGCGAATGGAGAGACAGGTGTGACGAGTGATTGCTGAGTCGAATTAGAATTCCGTGATTCGTTGACAGTGCAGAATTAGAAATTTGGCAAGAGTGCTTGTGGATGACCGGAGTATTTGAAAATAGGATTACATGTTTTTGCGTGAGGGAAGATTATTGTTAGGGATTGTCTAGTTTGCGAATGATGTGGATTTTTAAAATAGGTGAATAATTGTCAAATTGAAGTATTAAAAATTGAGGAACACCTGAGCACTTGTAAATAGGATTAGATATTTCCTAGTGAGGGAAGATTATTGTTAAGAACTGTCTAGTTTGCGAATGATGTGGACATGAGACTTCGATGTGGATTTTTAAAATAGGTGAATAATTGTCAAATTGAAGTATTAAACATTGAGGAACACCTGAGCACTTGTAAATAGGATTAGATATTTCTTGGTGAGGGAGGATTACTATTAGGAAGTGCCTAGTTTGCGAATATGTACTTGATGTGCGAATGATGGACTTGGTACTTTAGTGTGGATTTCTAAAACAGGCGAATAATTGGGAATTGGGGTATTAAACATTGAGGAACATTTGAGCACTTGAAAATAGGATTAGGTGTTTCTATGTATGGGAGAATTGTTGGTAGAAAGTGTATGGTTTGCGAATGATGTGCTTGATGTGCGAATGATGGACTTGGTACTTTAGTATGGATTTCTAAAACAGACGAATAATTGTCAAATTGAAGTATTAAAAATTGAGGAACACCTGGACACTTGTAAATAGGATTAGATATTTCCTGGTGAGGGAGGATTAATGTTAGGAAGTGCCTAGTTTGCGAATGATGGACTTGGTACTTTAATATGGATTTCTAAAACAGGCGAATAATTGGGAATTGGGTTATTAAACATTAAGGAACATCTGAACACTTGAAAATAGGATTAGGTGTTTCTATGTATGAGAGAATTGTTGGTAGGGAGTGTATGGTTTGCGAATGATGTACTTGATGTGCGAATGATGGACTTGTTACTTTAGTATGGATTTCTAAAACAGGCGAATAATAGTGAAATTGAAGTATTAAAAATTGAGGAACACCTGGACACTTGTAAATAGGATTAGATATTTCCTGGTGAGGGAGGATTATTGTTAGGGAGTGTCTAGTTTGCGAATGATGTGGACATGGGACTTTGGTGTGGATTTATAAGACAAGTAAACAATTGTGAAATTAGAGTATTAAAAATTGGGGAACACCTGAGCACCTGAAAATAGGATCAGATGTTTCTATGTAAGGGAGAATTGTTGGTAGGGAGTGTATAGTTTGTGAATGATACGCAGTTTTAAAACAGGCGAATAATTGTGAAGTTATGCCCTATAGCTATTCTCATTTCTTAGATGCTAAGCAACAATTTAATTATCCACTAAAATTAATACTATTATCAATTAAAAACCTCCTGCCAGATGTCCAATGAATTTCGGATATTGAAACTTAAATATGAATATACATTAATAAGAGTATCAAAAATTGAGGAACACCTAAGCACTTGAGAATGGGATTAGATGTTTCTATGCAAGAGAGAATTGTTGGTAAGGAGTGTATGATTTGTGAATGATATGCAGTGTTAAAACAGGCGAATAATAGTGAAATTAGAGTATTAAAAGCAAAGGAAGACTTGAGTATTTGAAAATAGGATTACATATTTCTGTGTGAGGAATAATTGTTGGGAAATCGCATAATTTGGGATTTTCTTGTGGATTTCTAAACCTGGTAAATAATTGTGAAATTACAATATTAATTAAGGAGGAAGACGTGAGCACTTGAGGGTAGAATTAGCTGTTTACGCGCGAGGGAAAATTGTTGGAAGATTGCATAACTTAGGACTCTGTTGTGTACTTCTAAAACAGGTGAATAATTGTGAACTTACAATATTAAATAAGGAAGAAGACGTGAGCACTTGAGAGTAAAATTAACTGTTCATACGTGAGGGAAAATTGTTATTCGAAGATAGCATAATCTGGGACTTTGGTGTGGGTTTTTGAAACAAGTAAATAATTGTGAATTTAGAGTATCTGAGAATGCAGGGAGACCTTAATTAAATTAATTAATTAAATTAAGGTTGGACGTTTTGCTGTGAATGAGGAAGGTTTGAGGGATGATAGTGGAAAAGAATAGATAATTTAAGAATGAGGATTCTAGAAGAATGTCCATGCAGTCCAATTGACTATGACTTTCAAATTTTAAAGAAATTAGGGTTAAATAGGGTTTCTAAAATTAGGATTACACATTTATCTATTGTGTAACACTTACTAGAAGACAGTTTGACTCACAGATTACATGAAAATCGGAATTCGTTGAGAATGTTCACGTAAACAGACCGGTAGTAAGTTCCCAGTGTTAGAGGAAAGATGAGAAGTACTTGATTAGACGTTTGGATGTGACAAATGATAGTAGTGCAGGTCGTGTGATTTATAGACGAGGTAGAAATGATTGATTCATAGAGGAAGACTGATCGTCAGCTATCAGCATTAGAGACAAGGGCAAGAAATAACTACGTATTTGAGATCAGAATTGGACATTTATGTCTGAGGCTTGTCATGTGTGCAAAAGAGATCGTGTGACTTGTAGACGATGTGGAAAGGAAATATGGTACAGACGTCTGCAGCTATACCGAGTTCAACGAGAATTGGCAGGAAATTTAAACAAAAAGAGTCACGTGATCGATGCTGCGGACGTAGATAAGTGGTTGCAGAATGTGGATGCTCAGGGTCGACTTTTAGTGGTCGTAAACGGGGACCCTTGCGTACAAGGCCAGCTAAAATATCCTTGAAATGTTCGATGTGACGCTTGGATCAGCTGAATCCAGGTCTGATGTTTGAAATATTTTTATGTTACATGTCCTACATTTATATTTCAGTGCTTATTCCATTAACACGTTGCTATCGGCAAATTTCTCTAATGGGAGTATCAGTTAATTTTCCGCCAATATCGTGTGAGTCTCGTGGTAAGGGAGTCGGGTCAAACACGAGTATCACGTGTGAGAGACGTGGTAAGGGAATCGGGTCAAACACGAGTGTCACGTGTGAGAGACGTGGTAAGGGAATCGGGTCAAACACAAATGTCACGTGTAAGAGACGTGGTGAGAGACGTGGAAGCATACTTATCACTCAGTATAGGTGATGCGGTGATGAACGTGTTAATTCTCGTTGAACCGAGTACAGTGCCTATGAATCTCAAGTATAACTGTTAACCGGAAGAACTGGGTACTCGTGATTAGAATTGCTCTTCCAGCTGTGAATGGATAGAGAAATACCATGCATGATTATAGCATAATTATTCTCCGATTTGTGAAATACCTATGTGGGAATGGGAATTTCACGAGAACGTTTATAACCAACGATTGATCATAAATTTCTGCGAGTATCTGAAATTAGGATGGGAAAGAATCGCGTGCGGCCACCCAAGTGGCTTTTAGTTAAACATGACCGAACGAATCATGGGAATAACTGCGTAGTTTGTCTAAAGTGGGTGAAAGAGATCGGAAAATACGTAAAGGGAGAATGCACGAGTCTACGTGCGCATTTGTATGATAGTATGGCAGTGTGCATGCGTGGGGTAGCGGTTGAATGGAACTGAGAGTGAGAGTTGTCGAGGTGCTTGCGTTCTGAAGTTACTTTGTCTTGTCGAGTGATATAATTGTATCCAGTTGCTTATCTAAGTACTGCTTTGATACACTATTTGCTTTTATATGCTTTTACCCACGATTTTTATTTTTATATGTTTTAGATACGAGACTATTAGCAGTGAGGGGGACTCGAAGCTGACGATGAAGACTTGCATGAAGGGGTGAGTGGGTTAATACAATTTGAATTAACTTGATCAAAAATACCATGTGCTTCACACTGTGCTTGGTAATTTTTAATATTTTATTTCATTAATACGATATATATTCGTATATATCGTATTAACCCTTAACGCTAAGGCACCCTATTCCAAATGTATTTTTGAAAATTTATTTTTTATATTATTTCTGAGAAGAATAAAGATGGTTTCTAATGACTTTATTATTATTATTTACACGTCATTGCAGCATTTAAAATCTGACACTTAAAAATTTGCAAGTCGAAGTATTGTGAGAATAAGTTGGAGTTCCCAGTCGATATTCAGAATTAAAAGTCAGAATTAAAAGGGTTAAAATTATATGCATATGCAATATTATTAATATATGTATTTAGGCTCCTTTTTCTTAACAAAAGGAGTTAAAATTCTACAGATATTTATTTATTTATTTAATAATAATTTACAGGTAGTAGGACCAATTAGTGTACATCAGTTTGTTAGAGACAGAAAGAATACAGGTTATGTATGATACAAATGACGATATAGCCGATATAAACAATTTGCTCAGAGATTTAAGATCTGGTTTTCAAACGAAGAAATGCTATTGCCAAAAAATTGAAGGTTTGATGAGAAATTGTTTGCGAGAATCCATATTCTATTGACAGAGTCTACTGATTCAAGTCGTGCAGTATTATGCTGGTCAGATATAAAGATATGAAAGTCTCTTAAATTTTTTAAAGGAGCATGAAAATTAATGAAAGATAATAATTCTGGACTGCGTGTAATAGCGTTTTGGATAATTTGCATATTAAATAATCGGGAGTGAAAAATAACAACTATCGAACACTAACTATGGAAAAATTAGGTTTTCAAATAACGTTAATTGAAATTACTTTAATAAGGGATAGATATTAACCTTTTGCACTCGAGAGGCGAATTTAGTCACCATTAGATAAAATTTCGAAGATCGATATTAATTAATATGTCAAATTGAAGATAATGTAACGGTGTGCGAGCTATCGAAATCAAA